CCCAAGCAGGATTCCCTAGGCAATAAATCTAGAGCGTTGGCTGCGTAAAGGTCTGCCCTGCTGTGCGGGTTCGAACTCCGCCGACGCCGCGAGTTTTTTCACAATTGGGTCAACTAAAGTAAATAGTGTTGTTGATTTAGAGAGAATAACCGCAATTCCGATTCTGTTTTTCCGCGGTTTTGATTAATCTGACGGAAATAAATGGATTGAAGTGTAACCACAGTGAAATGAGCCACTGAAAAGCGGCTTCTGAAGGCTGATAAGTGCGCGGCCTTATGACGTTTTTTAACAGGAAGGGTACAAACAACAGTCTAATTGTTCTTCATTAGTTGTGCGAAAATTGCCTTCTTTAAGTCAGTGACGGCTAAAATGGTATAGTTTTGTTGGGAATGTTCATTAAAAGCTCAAGAAACCACTACCAAGAAGCACAAATTTAAAACTAAAAGTCATGACTTGACAAACAGTACGTGGGACATGCAATAAACAGCTGATAACCCAGCTTTATTACAAAAAGAACTTGTGAGGCATTCTATTAGAAATGCCCCAAGTCCTAAGATTTAGGATTTATGCTTTATCCTGTAGGGCTTTTGATCATAAGTTGGAACGCTTCTCGACCTTGTTTCCTCTGTCTTCTAAAGTCAAAAACAACTAGTTATTCAATAAGGTATTCAATTCACTTCAAGTAAATTGGGTCAAGCGTTTTTAAATTTTATTATTTCATCAATTATACTGAAAGTTTGTGCTGGTTTACAAGCCACTTTTGGATGGTCCATTTGTATGTTATGCCATGCCCCAGCAGAACATAAAAGTGACAGGAAAATGGCACACCGAGTCCAAATACTCAAAAATATCTGATACATTTTTCAGACAAAAGGCTCTACTTTTTTAATTTCTAGAACTACTTATTGCATTTGATCTCACGACACTTTTGAATCGTCCACTTTATACCGACATTCAAGATACATTTAAATCAAATTGAGTACTCGCGCATGTAGATATACCGAAAATAGTGACCGCAAACTCTGCAGTAACCGATATAAGTCATTGAGGTCACTGATGTAATTCAGTCTATAATTAGGTATAGGCTACAGTCGGCTAGCTGCGATATCTTGGGAAGTTACATCGAAGTTTAACCAAGTTTTACCGGAAATTGACGACTTATGTTAAAGCCCACATGAATCAGGTATGCTGTATTTCGAACAGTGTGGAGCAGGAGGTACTGCAAAGTCGTTCTTAAGCCAAAAGACAGAAGATACGGCCTTGGTTTTAAAAATATAGTCCCAGTACACCTTCAGCGAAATGCACGCAAGGGTTATTTAACATACGTAGTTTGGTTGCGGAAATGTCCTTTCTGAGTGTTTGAGGACGCGGAATCTATACACTCATATTGCGTTCTAACGATAACTGGATAATTAACTCTCCACTACTGGTTAAAAAGAGACATTGAAAGTTTTACCACGATAACTAGCCGAGAAAGCAGGTTAGTGCTCTCTGCTGGCTGGCTATTTCATTTAAGAATCAAGACGTCTCTTAGCGAAAGAGGGGGAGACCCGGTGAGAGAAAACCAACCAAGGGTTTTTCTGACAAAAACAATTTCTCAACTAGGTCCCTGTTATCTACCTATACGCACGTCAAACCCGTTTCCGTGGCATAAGCCCAGATGCTGCAGAGCGTAGGAGGAGAAGGAGAAAACCATCTGTTATTCAGAGGCAAAATCGCAACGGTCATCGCGGTTGCGCCAATCAACTCTCGGTGGTTGCAACAGCTGGGATATTCTGACGCATGTCAAAATTCCCTAAGATGCCATCAGCAGACTTCCCTTCCTTCTCCCGGTTACGCGAGCTATATCAGATAAGAGCACTGGTGGCTACGAAAGCAGAAAGTAACTAATTTTCTTATTTATTCAAATACTCAGATTGTCTCAACAGGAATATATTTTATCCATCCAGGAAAATACTGTTTGGTCCATAATCCGAACAAATTCTGCAAACTGACGATAGTTACCGTGTTGGTCATAAGCATAAATCACAACCCAAATATACGCTCCAAATTTCGGTCTATGCCTATAGACTTTAAGTATGCTGATGTGAACCGCGAACAGAAATTAATTTCTAGGGAAATTAAAAAGCTAAATAATTCACAGCGTTCATTGTCAGCGAATCTTTGTTGTAAGATGTGAAATAGACCTTTTCGAACTGAGTAAATAGTTTGATAACTTTTTGCGCTGACATAGACGCATTTTTCTTAGCTTTCTGACTTTGAATTAAAATATTTTGTTTATTCGGATTTCGTTCGTCTAAATTCTCCAGTGTGCTTTAGCTGTTCATATGCTATTTATTTCAGTTCAAGAACACAATAGGTTTCAAGGTTTGAAACAAAGAACTAATGGTGCCATGGCATAGTAGACGGTTTGTTACACTCCTAGGTAAGGTAAAATCAGCAAAATTTAAAATCAAGGTCAAGATAGCATGATTTAATGGCATACCGGTTGGCGGTGTCTTTCAATGCCACACTAAACCCTCATTTTAAAAACGTATTCATGGCGAAATTGTCTCAAAATCTCACAAACGTACCTTAATTTCCTTTAGTTGGGCCACGGAACGATTTCGCTGTGCTGTCATATATAGCGATTTGATAATATTCGTTACACAATCCCATTTGACTTGTTTCTGTAGGAAAAAGAAGAAAAAGAACATAAAAAGGCAACCAGATATCTTCCGTCATGCCTTTAGTGCTGACCCTTAGAGTGGTGCAGTGGACACTCCTCTGAAGAAATATGACATGCTAGTTTGATCGATCGGATGAGAGATCTGTAAAAATAAGTATGTAATTTTATAAAGAAGTATAACCTAAGTAGCTTCCGTTTTCACACAACATTTCATGTATCTGCGCTGCAAACAAAGGCTCGCTTTAAATGCTTCTATTTATGAAGCCGTAATTTGCAGAAATGTTCTTCTATCTGTTTCATGTAACATCCCCAGTGTTTTATCCTTAATTGCCCATTTTTTTAATTATAAGCACGTTAGCTATTCCCGTAAACTGAAAATACAACTAGAGGCTACAATTCCTAAAATGTTTACTAAACCACTTTGACTAGAGAACCAAAAAGGATGGCTCAAACATGGCTTTTATCTGTCCAGTTAACAAGATTATTTCACAAGTGCCGTTGACTTTCAGAATAAAAACTGTTCGAGCGGATGATTGAATAGACTGTTCTCAGCCGGGAAGGTCTGGTGAAGTGGGAACTACAGACTTGCCTTACCTAACAGTCTTTATAAGAAACCGGTGCCGGGGCATGAATTAGAATTCCCCAACTCTTTTACCCATTCTCATTATTACCATAGACACCACCTCACACACATCTAAGGAGGCCAAGGCGTTATAACGACTCACCCTAATCGAGGGCGTATCCAACATTTTTGGAAGTGTCCGACTGAGCCGTCCAACCAGGGTTTCGAGGGCCTTGCAGGAACGAAGGGATTCATGTCCCCACTCGACAATGGGCAGGACTTCTGTTAAAAATCGCTGGAGAGCCTGACTTTTGAGGAGATTCGGATTATAAGGAAATTGTTTGATAATAGACTGCGCCAGTTCCGAGAGTCTCTGTGAAAGAACAAGAGGAAAAAGGCTACATTTGAGAAAGCAAGCAGTGTACTCGAGATCTGCTTTCAAAAAACAACAACGTCACTTTCTAAATGATCCTTTTGGGGGTCACAGCTGTCTACCTCAATTTAAGTAATTATTAGTAAATAAAACTGTGACAGCTTTGGGCAGGCCTCCCGTCAGTATCTGTATAAGCTGTATAGGAAAGTACACAATGTTTTACTGTTACCTACAGTAAGGCCAGACAAAACGGCATTTACGTTTGAGAGTTATCACTACCACCTCGTTCGAAAAACCTTCCAGTTTATGACCATTTGGGAAAGTTTAGTACAATTACTGCACAAAGGTTCGCTCTGTTGTGAGACTTACAAAATATGCGTTGAACCCTTTCGATCATTGACCTCGCTACCATAAGATGAGTGAGCCATGGAGTGCCTAGGATGACAACAAGACCTACGAAAAGAACATAAGTCTTCGTTTGTTCTTGAGCTGATTCTCGTTGGGTAAAAGCAGCCGAATCGCAAGCTAGGCGGAAAGCGATTTGTCTTGAAGTTCAAAAAGGATGAAATAGCAATTACGCGTCAACCTGATAGAGAGGATTGTGATGACTCGGTATTCTGTATGCGATTGGGACGTCGACAATTTCCGTCTGCGTTCATCTGCGTTCGGCTATCAAATATCGGTACTAACCGGCGAAGAAGAACTTGGGGAAAGTCAAATTAAAGAGGCACAACGCATACCTACTTTCCGCCTTTTTCCTAATTCCATTAAATGCCCAAATGAACACTTTATACCAGCGGTAAACAAGAATTCGAGAGAGCAGAACGTTACCCTTTACTAATTGTGACTTTTCACTGGCACATTCCGCAATTTGCCTGATTTTTGACGAGAAGTAGCCAAGCGTACTAGCACCCCGTAATGAGCGCATAAGGACGCAGTATGGAAGTAAGTGTCTAGTAATTAAGATGAATTGTCGCATAAAAAGTAGACGGAGTAATGATAGAAATAAGGACCAAGCGAGGGAGCTAGGGGTGGGGAAAACGATTATTCAGCAGGTCTTTATTATTTAACTGTTTCGGTTACAGCCTAAACTGGCTTTCCTGTGTTTCTACGTTGATTTTGCAACACTTCACTTCAGAGAGATCTTTAATGAGCCTTTAAAGAGAAGGAAGTGATCATGAATAGTTACGAACTTCGACCTAAGTGCTTTGCGAGCCAACCAAAGATTGCATAACCAATGTTTTGCTCTAAGATGCAGATTTTGAGTGCAGGCCTTGATGACAATTTGGTTCAAGAGAAAAGATTAACACCAAACATCGCAGATTACTGGAGAGAAAAGCATACACAAATAGACATAGACGCATAGCAATGCGAGGACCTCAAGGGCAAAGCTTACGGGAGTTAGTCAAGCTGCAAAACTTCTGAGAAAAAAATGTATCCTGCCTTCTAGAACGGACTCCCTGATTGGTATTTTCAAGCACTTTAAAGTATATGTGATCATTATCTGCGTGACCCACCGTCTTCCTGCTGATTTACGACCGTTAGTCAGCATTACCCTTCTTAGCGCCTGGTTTGTCACCTGTCGAGCTTCTGTTGACTGTTTCATGTTTGGATAACAGACGGACGTAGAAGTAATGCAGTCCGTCTGTCAGTTTTCAACGAAGCATTTCAGATACATTCGGGAAACTTTGTTCTAACGAACCTAACCTATAGGACAGATGGGTTAGATAGCTATCACGTTTTCATGTCTTAAAAACTGCAATGCTGAGGGGAGTCTTCAGTGAGGGCAATGTGATCGCTGGAACAGGAAGACAGTTGGCCTGACGTTTTGGATTCTGATTCGAACCCATCCTCAGAGACAAACGCGGATGAACGTAACAGATATAAAGGGTGCACAGTTTTCATATTCAGTAGTCGCCACATGACCATGATTGGCTGCTCTCGTGCTCAGCACTGGGGTCGAAAGGGATGTGATGATGGCTTGACAGTCCGTGTTCGAGTCTTTAATTGTCGCGATTTCATCATCTGTGTTGGATGTTGGTGTAATGATCAGACGGTAATTTGGTTCGCTGTCAGTGAAATTGCTGATCGCCCCGACCTCCCCTCGTGACTGATTCCCCTGCTCAGGTGAAATATCAGTACAGAATATGGGGACGGCAGGTCATTGCGGTGGTTGAATCATGACTTGAGCAGCTCAAGACTCATGCTGCTATCACCTTTTGCGTGGACTTTAGCCTTGTTAAACTTGAAAATTTGACAAGGCTCCGTAGATTAAGCTGCAAGCGGAGAGCTACTTTTTATATCTTTCTCCTCGTCGCTGCTATGTGCTCTCAGTTTTTCCGACGTCATTGCTTTGTCCACAACCGCACCGGATTCGGTAAACGACCCTAGACTTTTTTTGCCATGGCAGTAGGTTTTTCAGCTTCATGACGTAACGTGAAGCTATAAAACTTACTGTTCCAGCGATCGCATATTCTGCATTGTATAATAAAGCCTACTTTGCAATTCCACAGGTCCCCCATCCTAACGGAGGTAACTTTTCGCGTTTTTAATTTCCTCTGGAAATTAATTGCTTACTTGGAATAAATCAGTCTATTTGAAGGTTTTTAGGCGTCGAGTGTAGGTTCATGTGCATATCGAATATGAGTTACGTTTTCCTAATAGAGGCAAGTATTCGAATCCCAGATATACGTTCGAGTTAAGGAAGTTCATTGAGAATGGAAATCATTTATTTAGCTTCAAAGATAACACCATTTTCAGAACAAGTGATAGCTATAGGATACGCTTACCAATCGCAGATCGACATATTGCACTGTGGATGTAAAGGTCAACTTGCCTATTGACTGAATTCCCACCAAAAGCTCAGGCTTTAATTAAACCGCGGTTGTTATTTGAACAAATGCGCAATTATACTCGTCACACCTTTTTGAAGATGGGG